CGCCGGCCGGGCAGGCGGTGAGAGACTCGCCATCCCTGCCAAAAGCCTCCACCCCACCCTGCTGACAGTCAAGTATTCAAGGAGGAAAGAGAACATTCTGGAGGCCGTCCCTGAGGCTCCCTCTCCCTGCCCCTCTCCGGTTCCCTCCGCTCCCCAGCCGGCAGCTGCTGAGCTGGTGGGGGCCACGCAGGAGGTGGAGCCGGCGGCCAGGCGGAGGCCCCCTCCCAGGGAGCCCCGGCCCCGGCCCCTCGCACAGGCTGCCACCTGCTTCTGCAGCGATGCCCAGCGGCCGGCAGCTGCGGGCTCTGGGAGCTGGGGGCCAGGACTCGGCCCGCCTTGCACCTGGCCTCCTGCCCGGGACAGACGGCCCCACCGAGGCCGCCGGGGCGGCCGGGGCCGTGGCCGGCGCTGCTGCTGGTCTCGCTGGTCACTCTCTCCTCCCCTGCCTTTTCCAGTTCTTCTGACCAAAACCCAGTCGGAGCCCTCCCTGAGCTGCCGAGGTACCGGGGCCGGGGCCGCCCAGGCTGCACCCTGCATGGCTCGGCCAGTCGGTGCACGGAGTGGCTGGGGCCCCTGGGGACGGCTTGCGGTGAACTGAGGCCGTGGCTTGGTTTCGCGCCCCCGTGATTGGCTAAGAAAGGAATGTCCCTTGTGGGAGGGTTTGCTGTGTGGTTTTAATTGGTAAGAAACAAAGGAAGCTGCTGTAAAAAACGCACAAAAAAAACCCACCCATGGACCTTTATGAAGGATTCCGGGGCAGAGCAGAAGCCGTCCATGTGGGGGAGGCGCCGTTTCCTTCCCACCTGTGCCCACCTGTGCCCACCTGTGCCCACCTGTGCCCACCTGTGCCCACCTGTGCTTGCCGTGCTTACCTGTTCTTGAGATCCACCCTGCCCGCTGCAGAATTTAGGGCAGTGTGGTTTGTGACATTTAACCTTTGCTGTCAGAGACACGAATGTGCGTGCTTGGGTTTTGGGGCGTTTTTTTAATTAGAGAGAAAGAGAAACATCCATTTATTGCTCCACTTATTATGCATCGTTGGTTGAAACTTGTATGTGCCCTGACCGGGGATCGAACCCATGACCTTGGCGTATGGGGACAAAGCTCTAACCGCCTGGGCTGCCGGCCGGGCCCGGGTTTCTGTTGTTGGGTGGATGACGCCTGTGTTACTAACACGCTGACCTCGTGTCGGCTCCCTGGCTGGAAGATCGCTGTCCCCTCGGCACACAGAGCTGACGGATGTTCGGATGGCAGACTCTGAACCACAGCCCAGTGTTCCCACGCTGCCCGGCGCCGGGTCCCAGCCGGTGGCAGCGCTGTGGGGAGGGGAGGGAGGCCACTGTCTGTCCTTCAGGGACACCCACATTCTCCTCTCCGAGCCGTGCCCGTGAGCCTCGGCGGGGAGCCTCGCTGAGTGATGACGGAGGCCCGGAGTGGCCGCTGGAGGGTCAGGAAACCGGGGGCGATGGTGCTCCGCAGCCCGGGGGGCAGACGGCAGCCGTTCACCCGGCTGCAGGGGGGAGACTGAGGTTCAGAGTGCTGCGGCCGATCGCCTGGACGGGCCCGCCCTCGGGCCCCAACCCCTGCTCCGCTGGGTCCCGGATGTTCCCCGCACCGTGAGCAGCTCCCAGGGGGTGCTGGTTGACTGCAGGGTGCTGGGCCCACCCCACAGTTTCCAGTCCGGGGTCAGGCCCGGGCCAAGTCCCAGTGATGCTGACACTGCCGGTCACTGCTCAGCCCTCGGCTAGGCTCTCACCTGCCAGACAGGTCAGGGCCGCGGTGTCCCCGTCTGAGCGCAAGACCCCTTCCAGCCTGTCCTACGATCCCGGTGACTTCCAGCCCAGGGGCACAGTCAGTGATACTGTGATAACTGTGTTTGCGGCCAGCTGGGTGCTGGAAATATCGGGGGGACCACTCTGTAAAGTACACGGCTATCTAACCGCTGTGCTGTACACCCGAAACTAGTACAGTCATAGTGTCAGCTGCGGTTGGAAAATAAAATAATTAATCAGGAACAACCCCCCCAAGTAATAAAATAGTGATTAGAAAAATAAAATCCTGACGAAGAAAGGAAACTATTGAAGGACTTAGAGCTCAAGAATAAATATATATATATATTTTAAAAGCGGAAGATAAAATAGGCCCCTGGAGAATGTCAGTAGTAGGGAAGCATCCGACTGAGGCAGGGGGAGGAGCGTCGGGAGAGGGGGGGGGGCCCTGCTG